AATAAATAAATTTTAAAAATGCAAAATAATAATAATAATAATTTTTAAAATAAACTCCTGGTGAATTTTAAAAACTTAATATAAGAGATGAAGCCAATGCAGCTACTAGAAACAGTTGCTATTTGTTTGAGTTTTTGTGCAATGAAGACATTTCTAAGCATAAAAACTATACAGGGAAAAACACTTAAATATTTGATATTAAAAAAAGTTTCTATGTCAAAAAAACTGAATTAAAATTTACAGACAATGGGACAAATACTGACAATATTTATGAGTTAATATTTTTACACATAAAGATCTTTTGCAAAGCAATTTAAAAATATAAACCTCCTAGTGGAAATATGGGCCCAAAAAATAAACCTAGAAATCCAAAAGAAAAATTATGGCACATAACAGAAAAAATGTTTCAAATATTTTAACTGAAACATAAATATTTTAAATTTTATGTTTAAACTTTAGATGTTTTAAAATGTCACCAATGCAGGCTAAAATCAATAAGATATCGTGTTTGCCCATCAAATTGACAACAATTTTATAAATTATAATACCCAGCCCTGGTGGTGGTGAGTAAAATAGAAAACTTACATACTGCTGGTGGCAGTATTAACTGAACCCTACAGAGGGAAACTTGGCTTGAAAATAGTTTCAAGACACCAAAAATGTTCATTCTTTTTGAACCATAATTATACAGCTGGAAATTTATCCTAAAGAACTACATGAAGAACTGTACAACAAAATAAATGCATAGTACATGATAGTACTATTTAGAAGAGCCAAACACTGGTAACAAACATATATCCAAAAAATAGGAGATGGTTAAATAAATTATTGTAACTTTATGCAATGGACTATAGGAAGTCTAGAAGATATTTAATGTTTAGGAAACACGTACAATGTATTTTTAAGGTTTTAAATACAATACATAAAGCAAATTCTCTTCAAAAGATTGAAAGAAAATAATATACTATAACATTGTTTATCTTGTGTACAGTGATATAATGACTTATTTCCTTCTTTATAATTTGGTATATTTAAAATTTTTTCTACAATTAGCATGAAAACATATGCTTTTTAATAGTATCTATACATATGATTTTATTGCACCTGTTTCAAAGCTTTGGCTTTATTAAGTTCTTTCTCTGATCTGTCATTGAAAAGGTTCAATTCATTTATTTTGGCCATGAGGGACTGCTTTTCATCACAATTTTTACTATTTGACTTCTTGATAAAGTAAAGATCATTCTGTAAAAAGGAAACAAGGTACATAAATACATATTTTAAATAACAATATTAAATACATACTACTAAACATGTCTTACATTAAGTTATATATTCTATTAAATATTTCTAATAATCAAATTTTTAAATGTCACCCTTCATGCTCTAATGTCTCTGATATAATTATCTATTGATGTTTGGGTTTACTTTGAATTCAATCATTCTAGGAAATATTACGTATGCTTACAGTTCAAACTGAATTATTAAGTGACTGCTATTTATGGGGAGAAATAGGTGGGAGAGGATCTCAAGCTTTGGTTCAATAGATGGTTCACCTTCTGGGGTTCATTATTTGATTCAACCCATGTCCCAGAAGGTTAAAAACATTAACAGTCTGAGAAAGCTCAGGTTCTTGGTTAACTATAAGCTCTGGAATCAGACTGTCTTAGTTACATATTAGCCATCTGATCCTGGGGGGCAAACTCCTCCTCCTCCGTTTCCTCATTTGTAAAATGGAGATAATAACAATACCTACCTACCTGGGCTGTTGTAATGGTTAAAGAAGTTACTGTCAAAGAGTATGTACAACAATGTTTGACATGTAGAAACGCCATGTCTTATTATTATTATTACATATCTAATCACATATTGCTGGAGAGAAAAATGCTAAATAGGATGTAACTCCATCGGATGCGTAGATGGTCATACATACTCAGATTTCAGTTTTCTAGCTTTATACCAATTGGAACTCTCCCTCCAATGCAAAACCAGAACAAGCTTTGTGCTCCTTGTCCTCTGTTAGCCCCTCTTAGGGTACCTAAAACAAAAATTTTCTAGTGCCAAGACCTATCCCTCTCCTCTCCTTCTGTCTTTCTGTTTCCCTCCCTTCCTCCCTCCTCTGTCTTTCTCATTGCTTGTACTTCTCTGCTGTATCAGGACCTAAGACTGATGCAGGGCAGTAAGAATATTTTTACATAAAGGAATGATTTTATAAAATTAACTTTCAGAAAGAAAATTCTAATTTGAGATAATTTCCAACCTGAAGTAATGTTTCTATTAAGGAAAATAAGAGATGGAGTGGAATGAGAGACTGAATGCAGAATGACTTTACAATCTGATGCTACTACTGAGAAGAGAAAACCTTCATTATCAGGTTAACTAGCTTTAATATCTTTAAAAATTCACTGCATTTCCATTCACTTTCTCTCTCTATCAAAACCACAGCTGAAATAGGCATTAGTACTAGCCTACTGCATAATGGACAGAGCCCCACGGTAGTGAAAAGGGGGAACACTAGAAGCATCCCCACACAGCAAAACAGACATAACTCAGGTCGGGGTCAAAAAACATGTTCAGATACAAATGTCATCCTCCTATCATTCTGCAGCACTAATATTCTCATATTCTATGAAATTTTAAAAATAACATTTATTGAGTACCTACTAAAAGTACTATATTAAGATATACAATGCTTCTAATGCCCCCAAGTGCCCTAAAATAATATTAAATATTGTTTTCTATTTTAAAATGAATACTAGGACTCAGAAAAAGTAAAATAGCAGTAGTAGTATATATAACCTTGACATTCAAAACCAGTTCTAATTCCAAAACATGTGCTCTTTTCCATTAAACCACAAGAAGCAGGTTTTCTAAAATTTCATCAGGCCCAAACCAATATTTTGTCATCTTAAAATTTATTATTATTGTTTTTTAATTTTAAAAAGCAATAGCTGAGCCCTTTCACCTTTTAGCCCTAAAGCAGTTCAGGGCAATTCTTTCTGTAACCACTAGAGGACACTCAACACTAGCCTTTCCAGCTGTTTTAACATCTAAACCCTTTGGAGTTTTCCCCACATTTAGGTCCATGCTCACTCCTTCACTCTTACTTTCCAGTTAAACTTTAACATAGGTTCTATATTACACAGGTTCCCCTAATATAGGTTTTATATTGCCATAAACATATTAAAATACCTAAAGATGATGAACATTTTCATCTTATTAACAATATTGAGTCATCTGAAATAGTTTAACTAAGTAAATATTTGGATAACAACAATAGATGACCCATAAAAGAGCAGCTTCTTTTAGGTGTCATTTCAAAGATAAAGGGAAATCAAGTTATTATAGTAGATACATAATATAAAACTAGAATTTATCAATTTTTAAAATCATACTATTTAAGAGTATTTTTAAGTCACATGAATTAGGGATCAAATCCTAGCTCTCCATGAGGTAGCTGTGTAATCATGTACAAGTTACCTAATCTGTAAAACAAGTAATAACTTCTTTCTCACAAGACATCTATAAGGATTAAATGAAATAAAATGCTAAAGACATATATTTAGCATATAGTAAATACGTAATGAATGGTAATGTTTCATTCTCTTAGTCAGTATAGAAATATGAACATTAGTTCATACATTTTTTTATATATGTGGGTAGCTTGGCAGTCATCCTATCCAAAGTAAAGTCCTATGAACATGTCAACTTTAAAACAGAATGACTAATGATAGAATATATGAAGCATAAAAAGTAAGTTACATGAAGCTTCTTGATCTCTGTTTCCAAAAGGCTAACTGTAGATTTTTTCTCTTCCAATGTCTTTTTAAGTTCAACAATTTTTGTTTCAAGTGCTTGTTTTTCTTCTGAATTAATTTCTCCCTTTAACCGTGACATTCGGCGTTCCACTTGTTGAATGTAAAAATCCTGTTACAGTTTTAAAAAATAAGTTAGTAAGGAAAAACAGTTAAAATCATTTCTACAAATGCAAAAACACTGTAAAAATACTTTCTTATATGAGTTTGGCCTGATGTCATCATTTACTAAAGTCACTTTAAACCTTCAGTAATTTATAGGATGAAATCCTTCTTAGTCTAAAGGGTAACACAGCAAACTATTCTTCAAGAGCCAGGGTACATGACAATGACACAGAAATAATCTTCTGAAAATATAACAAAGCAGCTAAGTAGGTATTTATCATCCTACCATGATGGAACCTCAGTGAATCCACTGAATTTACACAGACATCAATTTTTGATGGGACATTTTGTAAGGGGTGTAAAAAAGATAAAGTCACAGACTGTTAGGCATGAAAGGCCTAATAAATCTGATGAACTTCTAATGAGTTATTTTTAAAATTACATATTAGCATCTGTAATTTTGAGAAACTAAGAATATATCAGACAGGGAAATTAAGATGTAGAGAAGGAAGACATTAAGAAAGTAACGTAAGACAGAATATATAAACAGAACAAATAAGGAAAAACTTAAAAAAATATTTTTAACCTATTGGTCCACGGGTTGGGGTGGGGAAGCCGATGTCTGCATAACTAAGAATCACAGTTTTTCTAGGTTTCAGATATTCCACTCCTTGTTTTGTTTTGCTAGAGATCCAATTGCTCCAAGATTCCTTTAAAGCATGGCTCTCCCCCAGTAGAGTTGTCTATCCTCTTACTTGTTCATTTCAGATTGAGAGAAAAATAGTTTCTAAGGCTCCCTCATCCAGCTACTGACCTAACATGATAGCCCATCTTCGGCATCCATCTATCCCCTCAAGAGTTCTTAGAAATTTTTGTTTCCTTAGGATACTGCAGTATCTTGACTGTTACAATGATAACAAATTAATCTGGAAAATATTCATAAGTGTAACATCTACCTGATTGTACATAATTTCTTGCTGCTTCAAGGTTTCAAAGTCCAGTTTATGTAACTGATGGTTGAGGTGCTTTAGAGAGGAACGGGTTCCTTCAATTTCAGATACAACAGCTTTTTCTTTCATTGTCTCCGCCTGTAGTTCCTGGACTTTCTTAAATAGCACATCTTTCACTATGTTCAATTGAACTTCTACTTCCTGATGATAAGAATAAAAGTGATTAATGAAATTATAATACCTTGAAATGTTTTATTGCCTGAATATTATAATTTGTGGGCTCTTAAAATGGGGGGCTCAAAGGCCCCCATTGTAGCCCTTCCCACAACTTCAACAAATTCCCAACATTGCTTGTAGGATACTCTAAATCTAGTAAACTAGAAGAGCAGTTTTCTGTTCCTGTAGCATGCACCTTGATCTGTCATCTTAACTCTGTTCTATGTCACCTTAGCCTTAGAACCTGGCTATTCCAGTGGTTTCCTTAGAACATAGAATATACTGGAGGATTTTTCTGGTCAAGATGGAGAAGTATTAGGACCACAAGCTCACCTACTCTCATGATCACAACAAAACCACAGCTGACTGCTAAATAATCATTGATTAAAAAGACTGGAACCTAGCAAAAAAGATCTCCTTCAACTGGAAATGTAAAGAGGGAACCACAAGGGGATGGCAGTAGGGGGTGCATTCATGATATAACTGGGTTCCCTATCCTTGGGTGGGCGACCAACAAGCTGGAGAAAATCATATTGCAGAGCCCCTTCCAGAAGAGTGAGAGTTCTGAACCTCATATCAGGCTCTCCAGCCCAGGGTTCTGGCATTGTGAGGAGGAGTCCTCAGAACATCCAGTTGTGAAGGTCAATGGGGCTTAATTGCAGGAGCCCCATGGCAATGGAGGATAAAGAGACTTCACCCTCTTTGCAACTGCATACAGAATTTTGCATGCACCGGGCCAAGGGCAAAAGCAGTGATTCTATAGGAACCTGGGCCAGACCTGCCTGCTAGTTTTGGAAGTTCTCTTGGGGAGGTAGAGGGTGGCTGTGGCTCACCCTGGGGACATAAATGCTGGTGGCGGACATTCAGATAGTGTTCATCTACACAAGCTTTCCTGGAGGCTGACATTTTTGTTTAGGTCATTGGTGCCAAGACTTAGCCCCACCCAACAACCTGTAGGCTTAAGTACTGGGAAACCTCAGGCCAAACAGCATACTCAGTAGGAATGCAGCCCCACCCATCAGCCAACTTCCTGAGCCCCAGCCACCTCTAGACACTCCCCTAGACACAACCCTGCCCACCAGAGGACAAGGATCCAGCTCCACCCAGCAGGGGGCAGGCACCAACCCCTCCTGCCAGGAAACCTGTCCAAGCCTCTAGCCCAGCCTTACTCACCAGGAGGCCAATACCATAAGTAAGAAAACAACAGTCCCACAGCCTGTGGAAGGAGTCCGTAATAGCAGGCCAGATTCTACGCTGGGACAAACTGGGCCCTGGCCCTTGGGTGACAGGGGAGTGCACTGCTGGATTGCACAGGACTTCTCCCACAGAAGGCCACCTCTCCAAGGTCGAGAAACATAACCATATGAATAAAACCATATGATCATCTCAATAGATGAAGAAAAAGCTTTTGATAAAATTCAACATCTATTTATGATAAAAACTCTCCAGAAAGTGGGCACAGATAGAACATACCTCAACACAATAAAGGCCATATATGACAAACCCAAAGCTAACATCATACTCAATGGTAAAAAGTGGAAAGCATTTTCTCTGAGATCAGGAACAAGACAAGGATGCCTACTCTCACCACTTTTATTCTATTCAACATAGTTTTGGAAGTTCTAGCCACAACAATCTGAGAAGAAAAAGAAATGAAAGGAATCCAAATTGGAAAAGAAGAAGTAAAACTGTCACTGTTTGCCAATGACATGATACTATACATAGGAAATCTTAAAGATGCAACCAGAAAACTACTAGAGTTCATCAATGAATCTGGTAAAGTTGTAGTATAAAAAATTAATATATAGAAATCAGTTGCATTTCTATACACTAACAATAAAACATCAGATAAAGAAATTAAGAAAACAATCCCATTTACTATCATATCAAAAAGAATATAATACCTAGGAATAAATCTATGTAAGGAGACAAAGAATCTGTACTTCAAAAACTATATTGTTAAAATGGCCATACTATCCAAGGCAATATACAATCCCTATCAAATTACCAATGATATTTTTCACAAAACTGGAACAAAAATTGTTAAAATTTGTGTGAAAACACAAAAGACCCTGAATAGCCAAAACAATCTTGAGAAAGAAGAGAGCTGGAGGAGTCATGCTCCCTGACTTCAGACTATACTATAAAGCTACAGTAATCAAAAGAGCATGGTACTGGCACAAAAACAGACACATAAATCAATGGAACAGGATAGAAAGCCCAGAATAAACACACATTTAGTCAATTAATCTACAACAAAGGAGACGAGACTATACAGTGGAGAAAAGACAGTCTCTTCAACAAGTGGTGCTGGGAAAACTGGACAGCTACATGTAAAAGAATGAAATTAGAGCATTCTCTAACACCATATACAAAAATAAACTCAAAATGGATTAAAGACCTAAATGTAATACCAAATACTATAAAACTCCTAGAGGAAAACATAGGCAGAACACTCTTTGACATAAATCACAGCAATGTTTTTTTTGAACCAGTTCCTAGAGTAATGGAAATATAAGCAAAAATAAACAAATGGGACATAATCAAACTTACAAGCTTTTGCACAGCTAAGGATATGATACCATCATCAAAATGAAAAGACAACCTACAGAATAGGAGAAAATATTTGCAAATGATGTGACCAACAAGGGACTAATTTCCAAAATATATAAACAGCTCATACAGCTTAATATAGAATATAAAACCAAGCAACCCAATCAAAAAAAATGGGCAGAACACCTATATAGACATTTTCCCAAAGAAGACATACAGACGGCAAACAGGCACATGAAAAGATGCTCAACAATGCTAATTATTAGAGAAATGCAAATCAAAACCACAATGAGGTATCACCTCACACCAGTCAGAATGGTCATGATGAAAAAGTCTACAAATAATAAATGCTGGAGAGGTGTGGAGAAAAAGGAATCCTCCTATAATGTTGGTGGGAATGTAAATTGGTGCAGCCACTATGGAGGACAATATGGAGGTTCCTTAAAAAACTGAAAATAGACTTACCATATGATCCAGCAATCCCACTCCTGGGCATATATCAAAAGAAAACTATAATTCGAAAAGACACATGTACCCCAGTGTTCACAGCAGCATTATTTGCAACAGCCAAGAAATGGAAACAACCTAAATGTCCACTGATACATAAATGGATAAAAAAGATGTGGTACATATATACAATATAATACTATTTAGCCATAAAAAAGAATAAAATAATGCCATTTGCAGCTACAGGGATAGACCTAGAGATCATCATTCTAAGTGAAGTAAGCCAGAAAGAAAAAGAAAAATACAAAATGTATCACTTATAGGAGGAATCTTAAAAAAAAAAAAAGACACAACTGAACTTATTTACAAAACAGAAACAAACTCACAGACATGGAGAACTTATGATTACCAGGGAGTAAAGGGGGTGGAGAAGAGATAAATCAGGAGTTCCAGACTTGGCAGATACTAACTACTATATATAAAATAGATAAACAACAAGTTTTTACTGTACAGCACAGGGAACTATATTCAATATCTAATAGTAACCTAAAATAAAAAATATATGAATACATGAACCTATAATTAAAAATAATGAAAAAGAGTATTAAAACGAATGTATGTATATATACGCATGACTGAAACATTATGTTGTACCCCAGAAACTGACACATTGTAAATTGACTATATTTCAGTAAAAAAGAGTGCTAGATAAATAAATACACTAGAGACACACAGCTTATAAGTTCACAAAGTTTAACAAAGTCTTTAGAGTGTCAAGGGAAGAAATCACATCACCCAGTTTCCCACCTTCTTTTGGGCACTACCCAGTGGGCAGACAAATGTTTAACCACCAGCCTTCTGGTGGGAAGCTGGGGGAAGAGGCTGATTACCACGATTATTTATAATCCCACTATGGCCAATTTTAAGTACATTATTAACGTTATTCCACTAAATGCAGCACTTGGAAGAGATATGCATTAGCAGACCATTATGCAGTGTTTCTACTATACAGATATAATAGATGTTAGTAATCTTAAGTAGTCTTAAGAGAATAGGTAACTGTAAAATGTTGTAAAATAATTTGAAAATGATATGTGCTGAGTACTTATTACTTTTGTTTATAATGTAATTTAATTGTAAGTCTATATAATTTAATTTTTAATAGTAGTTATGGTTAACAGCTGACTTATAAAATTTCAGAAAATTTAACTATCAGCTCTTGTGAGCTAGTGTGAGCTGGCCCTAACACACTACTGGCACTACCTCTTCCTCACACCTTGCCTGTAGCTGCCCTCCCTACATGTGCAGCTCTCTAGGAGATAAAAACCAGTCCCCCATTCCCATTGCTCCTTTCTCAGGAGGCAAGCCTATTTTGACCTCAAGACATCACATCAGTGTATTCCAGGCTTCAGGTAGACCTCCCATGCCAAGATCTATTGAAAGCTATCATTCTAAAATGTTGGAGTAAGTTTCCTCTGTGCACCTATACCCAGATAAGAATAATTCCCTTTGCCAACCAATGAACTTCAACATGAAACAAAAGAAGTCTGTGACTGGCACATTTAGGTTTTCACCAATCAAGAAATATAATCTGATCTAATCTTGTGAAATACATTACTTGTCATATAATAGACAATTTTCATTGAGTTTAAGACCTTCTGAAAGATTGCCTGGCAGTTTTACAGTTGGTGATTGATGGTGAATAACATAGCACATCTCCAAAACAAGCTTGGGATTTTTGCAATCAAAATCAACAGCTACAAGATTATGAGTACAACCCTATTAGGGCACAATCAGTTCACATGCTACCAATCTAATATTTTTCTAATTCAGTTAATTTCTGTAAAAAATCACTAGTTTTTAATTCTGTCATCAGAAGGTCTATTTCATATAAATTTCATGGTCTTTACATATTTCTAATAAGTCCTAACACCCTCCCATTTCATGTGCTACGGAAAATCATGGTCTTAAGGGGAGAAAAAGCCATAATTTTTAAAAAATAATGTTGTATGATTTGAACTCAAATACCACTCAAGTCAAGATTATTGCATGGATGTGCAGTATACTGTACATATGTATTTAAATGTAATATAATGTATATGTGCAGTCAAACTGTAATAATTCTACCTAATAAAACTGAAAAGGGGAAAAAAAAGATTGTTGCATGGCTTCATTACTCAGGAATTTTATACATACACAACAGCACACTGAGGAAGCTGGATTCTATCCAAATATAAGTGAAACCATACTTGACATAAGCCTCAACAAATGGAGGATTTTGCCACCACCTTCAGCTGCCCCTCCTCTTCCCCCTTTCAAAAAAGAGTAAAAGCAAGAAGTAGTACCTACAGTGATAGGTCACACAAGTCAATCTGAAGTTTTCAAAGAGGAAATGGTGAACCAGCCTTTTCCAGTTCCTCAAAAGTTGGCTTTAATGCCACCAGAATGACAGAGATGAAGGTAGAAGGGGGATGCCAGTGAAGTGAGTGAAACGTTAGCACTTAAAAGCCCATTTACCAATAAATGGTAGAAGAATGTAAGAGGTTCAAGAGATAGATGATGAAGAAGTAATGAATGTAGACCATTGCTGGGAATCTGATCACAAACAAAAATGAAGATAATCAGTTGTAAAACAAAGGCACTTTTCAAGGTATATTTGCAATATAAGACTATCTGTATGAATGGCAAACAGGAATAGGGACACAGTAAGAACTGAGAAGGCAGAGAATCTAAGATAGAGGGGCTACCTTTAAAAGAAGACATCAAAGTTAAAGGCTGAAAGTGAAGAGAACAGAGAATTAGGAGCTTAAGATTAAAAAAGGGGTCTAACAACTCAACAATCTGATTACAAATGTGATCACACCAGAAATTTAGGAGCCTCTTAAAAGACCTCCTACTCCTCTGATCAAGAGTCTAGTTAAGTCACTGTTGCTAAATTTGCTGTAATTTTTTAAAAACCTTACCTTTACACCTCTTTCCTCCTCCCTTAGCATGTCTTCCAAGTTAGTAGCTTTCTCCTCCACAGACATAGTTTTCTCAGTTATATGCTTTAATTTTTTTCTTACAATCTGATTATGATTTTTAATTTTGTATAACCTATAGAGAATTTATGAGGAAAAAATAAATTTATGAGGAAAACATGTCTAAAATATATTTAATGCAAACAAACAAGTAATAGTTTAACCTAAGATTTCTTCATATAACTTAAAGTTTTCTTTTGCCATAAACGTTTTTATTACCAATATATACTTAATAAGCCATAAAAAATATTTCTCCTAAGGTGGAGAGGGTATAGCTTAAGTGGTAAAGCACATGCTTAGCATACACAAGGTCCTGGGTTCAATCCCCAGTACCTCCTCTAAAAATAAAGAAAGAAAGAAAGAAACAAACAAACAAACAAATAAATAAATAAGCAAACCTAATAAACTCCCCCCTAAAAAGAAATAAAATTTTAAAATAACAATTAAAAAAAATTTTCTCCTAAGCCTTTGTATTGAAAAACCCAGGAAAAGTTTCTTAAGTTTAATGATTTAGTAGCTATAATTTTACAGTTATTTAACCAAAAAGTCAAATATTCAATAATTTTTCTAGGGTTAGTCAAAAACCATAAACATATTTAAATATCTTTTTTCTTACCTTGTTGTTTCTTCACTAATGTCCTTTTTTATTTTGGAAATATTTTTCCTCAGAGCTTCTAAATCACTGGAACTTCTTTTCACAGTGGCTTTTAAAGAATCCAGCTATTTATTAGTTAATAGACAGAAATTACATATTTACTTTGTATCTTATAAATTAATTTCATTTCTGAGAAGTTCTGTTCTGAACACCTTGATTTCTAGGCTACATCACACCCACAAATAAAGTAATCATGTTGCTGCAATACATATTTAACAATTTTTTTTGATCTGATACTAAATTTTAAATGACTTGTATGATACTATAGAAATCTACACATATAAGTTAAAGGTACATACAGCAAAAGCTTCACAACACTATATTTGGTAATGATTTCTTGGATATGATACCAAAGGCACAGGCAACAAAAGAAAAAACAGACAAATCAGACTTCATCAAAATTAAAAACTTCTGTGCCTCAAAGACAACAACAACAATGCAAAAAGGCAACGCGTAGTATGGGGAAAAATATTTGCAAATTATATATCTGATAAAGGACTAATATCCAGAATATATACAAAACTAATTAAACTCAACAACAACAACAAAAAAAAGCAGCCTAATTAAAAAATGGACAAAGGACTTGAAGAGATACTTCTCTAGAGAAGGGATACAAAAGGCAAATAAGCACATGAAAAGATGCTCATCAGTAACCATTAGGGAAATGCAACTCAAAACTACAATGAAGTAGTACCTCACACCCATTAGGATAGCTACAATCAAAAAAACCCCAAAATAACGAGTGTTGATGATGATGTGGTGAAACTGGAACCTTTGTGCACTGTTAGTGGGGATGTAAAATGGTATAGCCACTGTGGAAAACAATATGACAGTTCCTCAAAGTCTTAAAAATATGATTACCATACGATCCAACAATTCTGAGACAACTATACACCCATGTTCATAGCAGCATTATTCACAATAGCTAAAACATGGAAGCAACCCAAGGTCTCAACAGATGAATGGAAAAGCAAAATGTGGCATGTACATACAATAGAATAGAATTTATCCTTATAAAGGAACAGAATTTTGACATATGCTATACCATGGATGACCCCTAAGGACATTCTACTAAGCAAAATAAGTGAAATAGGCCAGTCACAAAAAAACCAATATTTAATGATTCCATTTATATGAGGTACTTAGAGTAGTCTAAATCATCAAGACAGAAAGTAGAATGGTGGTTTCCAGGGGCTGCAGGGAGGAAACGATGGGAAGTCATTGTTAAATGGTACAGAGTTTCAGCTTTACAAGAAAAGAGCTATGGGGATGGGTGATGGTGATAGCTGCGCAATATTAGGAGTGTATTTAATACCACTGAACTGTACACTTAAAAACAGTTAAGATGGTAATCGTATGCTATATGTATTCACCACAATAAAAAAAAATTTTGAGAAAAAGAAATGAAGTACTGATACATGCTGTAACACAGATGAACCTTGAAAACATTATGTAAGTAACCTGACAAAAAAGGCACCATATTATATGATGTCACTTATATAAAATGTCCAAAATAGGCAAATCCATAGCAACAGAAAGTAGATCAGTAGTTGCCAGGGCCTGGTTGGAGGAGGGAAAGGAAAGTGATTGCTAATGGGTCTTCTTTGTGAAAGACAAAAATATTCTAAAATTAGATGGTGATGGTTTCACAATTCTGTGAAGTACTAAAAACCATTGAATTGTACACTTTAAAAGAGTGTATTATGATATGTGAATTCGATCTCAATAAACAAATTACAAATGAAGGAATTCTTTTTGGCAATTGGTTTAAACTTCAAAATTTTTAAGAATGAGCTATTAGGAGTGACATTGAATTTATGCAAGAAATTCACTTATTTTACTTTTTAGGATCGTAATAATTTCTCTTTGGACAGAAAAAAAAATCTTTCCTTCTTTATCAGAAATAAAAAGTATAACAACTTATAGAATAGAATGCTCTGCAATATTCCAATTTCCCACCTAATAGCAATAACTTCAGATAACATGGCCTCAAGGCACAAATTTCATAAAGATCCCTTTATTGCTAACTAAGGGACTGCTAACTCTCCCTATGGAATCTAGTTGGCATGTATGCTCAAAAAAAAAGAACAAAGCAGGAGAAGTTTCATTCTCTCTTAGTCTGTTTCAAGGTATTTTACCACTATATTGTCCCACTATCACACTAGAATATTTTCCCTTACCAAGATGAGAAACTGAACTTAAGCAGGTAGCTCCACCTAGAATCTGAGAATTAAAACCACCATACATATGTAGCACTGGAAGGACATTGCTAGTTATCACCAATGTCAATAATTCACCTTCACATTTGCGCATTTGCCAACTATCTGATAATTACGATTCGCAGTCAAGACTCTTCAGGAGCCTTCAGCCTCAGGTCTCTTATAAGCGTGACAGGCAAGTTGGGCATTGCACATCTCCAGGGGGAGCCCGTCACGCCACCTGTAATGTGAATGACACCCACCTGTTGCCTTCACCAACCAAGGTCTCATTAGAGTATCCCAAGGAAGTTCCACAAAAAGAACTAGAAGGCAGTTCCTTAATCAAAGGAAAGTCTTTATGGTTATTTGTATAGTAATTTGTCATAAACACACAAATTAGTCTTTTTTGTTGGCATACCTCATCTTTCAGCTGAATTCTGTTAGCTTCATGACGCTGATATTCCATTCTACATTTTAAAACTTTACGATCAGCAACAGAAATTTTTTTCTCGTACTCTGCATTATTCCCAATCTCACTTTCCAAAAATTTGATCTTTTCCTTAACCAAATTTTCTTTTTCTCTTATTTCCTGCTTTATCCTTGCTAATGCCTAGGATTTAAAAAATGCGTTAAATATATACTTAATATGATGAACAAAACTAAAACTAAGAAGAATTTAGTTTTTTTAATAGTCAAAATTTATTTTACCAAAACTTCTCAGAAAATTTTTTTACAGGGAGACTATTTTATATTAATAAAGCACAATATTAATATACTAGACAATAATACCTATAAGTTCTTATTTTTAAAGGCCTCTCTATTTTCTTTCATCCATCTGGTACTTTGCTAAAGAATGAGAAAAATATCAACCTTTTATCAATGGAAGATGACATCTAAAAATATAAAAGTATTGAATAGTTTTCACATAGAAAGCTGGATTTCAATGACATTTTCCAAATATTTCACAAGACTAGCTTTTTTCATTTTTTGAGAATAATATTTTTGCTACTAGTTTCAATAGGAATGCCTTCACTCAGGCTTTTTGCTGGTCTCGGGAATACAAAATAACTAGAATATACAAAGTAGTAACTGAGGTGTGGACAAAGCACTATGGGATCAAAGAGGTGATGAAGTCTACACAAGAGAAATCATTAAAAGGCATTACCTAAAAGGATTTGCTTGAGTCAGGCCTAAAAAGATAAACAGGGCTGCATAAATCCTCTAGTGTGGTTAAAGTGTAGCAGGGGAGGGCAGGGATGGAACAGGGATACATTAAGAAGGGGTGGGTACAGATGAAAGGGTTGGGGCTGGAAAGGTAGAAGTTAGGGCCAAACTATCAAGAAATTCAATTTTTCAATTACCATGTTAAAGAGGGTCAACTTTTAAGCAATGTGGAACAAAGAAGATTTTAGAGCTGTGGAATTAAAAGGCCATATATGGTTTTTACAGGTGATTCTGATGGCAATATGTTAGATGAACTAGATGGAGAAGGAAAATTGACCCTAAAATATATTTCTTTCAAGTTTTCTGAAATGGGGTCCCACCAAACAACTAATCCCAGGAGACTGGTTCAGGGGAGGGTATATGTTCTGAAATCAGTAAGTTTTAGAAATGCTGCATGTAGTATTGTAATATTGGCATATTAAGCCAAAATATATCTGAGATGCACTGCATTTTTAGACACATTTTAAATTTGTTTAATCTAGTATTCCCATCTCCATAACAATTAACATTCTATAATTGCAGCATTCTACATATATCTACTGTGTTCATTCAACCAAAGGAGAGGTCAAAACTTCCCAAGTTTATATATGTCAAACGATTATTCTAGAATTTCCTGACTTATAATTAACTTTTCTATCACTTAATCACATGCTTTAATATCTACTTCAAGGTTCACGTTTCTTACCAGTGTAATGTATTTACAATTGTTTTCGTATAGGTGATGCTTGTAAGTAGCATCCCAAAATGTCTACACTAGAATAGAACTATAATAGACAAATATTTTTTCCTTTCCTAAATAATGTAGAAGTTTATTCTAAGAAGCCAATTTCAGGATCATATGGTCAGATTCCTGCCAAGAAGGCACTGAGAAGGCAGGAACTATTTTGGAGGACGAAGAATAAAAGGGTCCAGTCTCAGATTAAATCCTCTAGTGGTGTGAAACGGCTCTCACTGGCTCACCAGAACTGACTTACACACCTCTTCTCAACTCTGTGATCAGTGGAATCAAGTTGGTATAGAAGTAGTTTCACCAGACATCAGAAATGCTACATATCAGGAGCCAGGCCTTAAATACATCCCCCTACCTATGGAGCCTCTTCTTAGCACTCTCTCTAGTCTCCATCAATACACACTGCCAGATGTCACTTCATAAATAAGGAACCACTATGAACATGACCAGGGAGCTATAAGCTGTGGATTCCACCAAATCAGCAGGCTGAGTCAGTTTAGCTGTATGGTTGTATGAGAATTCAATTATGGATCTGCGATCTTGGATCCGACACATCTGATTTACATAAAGGAAGCAATCAGGACTTGGTGTTTGAAAGCAATAGAAAGTCAAGAAAAAGAAACTAACATCAGCATTAAGAATTTAAAGGAACTCATAGTTAAGATTGGTTCTTCCATGTCCCTCCTAGGGAGGCACAGGCCATCTTGTTGCTAAAATACTGATTACTTGCAGAAATTTATATTAAAAGAATAACACTTTACATATAAGTTACATATAACAAGTAAACCACATCAAGGAATCAGAATTCCAAACTCCTAGTGCCTGAACTGCTTGCTGAAGGCCTTTCCATGGAGTATATTCAGAATGGAAGTCAGCACATTTTCTCACCTGCCTTCTTTCCTCCTCAACTCCTTCTCCTTCCCAACTTTCTCCAATCTTCTCTAATTTTCACTCACCACTATTTTATTCTTTAATGATTCCCCCAAAAGTTCTCCTAAATTATCTCTGGAAGTAGCAAAAAATAACACGTGTTTAATCAGAGTGGTGTTCTTCCCCTTCAGAGCTTCTAGCCCATGATGGGTGCCTCAGGTTCAGAAGGGGAAGCTGCAGTCTAGGTTTCTTTCCTACTCTCCTTCCTTCTTTATTGGCTATCCATAAGGCTCATTTCCCTATACCTGTAATTAGCACACAAATAGCACACATGTTAAATCCAAGGCACCCTGGACAACAGTGTATAAGTCAGGGCATTGGTTTTACTGCAGTAACACTATCTGTTGATTTTCTCTTGTCCCACATTTCAGAGTCTTCAGCATAATATATATTAAGTAAATAATCTTCATAAAAATCACATTTCTAAATGGATACAAAGTCAACTTTAAAAAAACATTTACCAAAACCATTGAATCATGCTACAAAAGCGACTTTCAAATAGGGTGATTTACATTTGAAATGAATGAGTTAAATACAAAAGAGATAAATACAGCTGAACACTGCAACGACCAATTACTTTACCAAGGCACAGTTATCGATGTCTCGATCTCTCTTCTGCATCTGTTCTATTGTATTCTCCCACTGTTTAATGAGTTCTTGCCTTTCATTATGAATCTTACGAAAATCTTGTGCTGCTTTATCCAATTCTAACTGTCAAATAAGAGCAAATAACATTTCTGTGAATTTAAGTGCTTTTGCAAACATCACCTTGACAACTAAGAAATAAAAATCTTTACTAAACCAACCTGCACACTGAGAGTCTCTGCAAGTTCGTTGTCAAGTACCTTTCTTCTCTGATTACATTCCACAGTCAGTCTTTCTAACTGCAGGGTCAGTGCCTATGATGTAGTTACACACAAAAATATTCATAATTATCATTTCATTAACATAAAAGATATTAGTATATCTCACATTAAGTGATATTATAAGTCATATTATAGTATATATATTCATTTATTTGATATCTAAAACAACTACAAAATAACATATATATATATTCATCTTTTAACTGCAAAGTGTTGCAATGAAAACTCAATTGTTTCTAAAAAGACCTTTAGTGCTTTTTAAAGTTAGAAAAGGGATTAAACAATCATTTGCCATTTAAAATTATTTTAAATAATGCCTGTGGTATTAAATCTATTATAAAATAGTATGTTTCATGATAACTAAAGTACTACCAGATTTAATTATAAGTAGATATTTAAGTAATGGTCATAATAATATATTAAGTAATCAATAGCACTATGGTCTCAAATCAGCAAAAACTATCTGTAACATTCAAACTATTACACAAGAGAAGTTAAAATACTTATCCATAGTCTTAGCACAAAACTTTCTTTTATGAAATGCTTTTGAATAAACTTCTCAATCAGGATTCTTAACCTGAAGTCCCTAGATCCCTAAATGGTCAAAGAGCTTCAAAGGATAAGTAAAACTTGCAAAATTTTGTATTTGAGCATATTCATTTTTCTAGAGAGAGGATACCTGACTTTAATAGACCCCCAAAATTTTGAGAACTACTTTAGAATTATAAGTCCAACTCAGATTTTAAAAATGGTTGATATTATTACAGATTCAGAGAAAATCTAGTATTTTTTAATTTACAATATCTCACCCTAATTTTATTATCATCTTGTTTTGCATACTTCTGAAGAGTAAGGGCATCACTGTCTTTACGAGCTGATTCTTCCAGCCAGGCCTCCAATGCTTGCTGGTCCCAGTTCATTTGACATTTCAAACCATCCAATTTTTGAGTAGTTTTAAAGATATAATTCTAATTTCCAAAGAGAGGGGGCAGGGAAGATTACAAAACATTACTTACTATACAAACTAAAATTAAACATAAGATTACATATTACAGAACATATTTAAAAGGAAGAAAGAAACCCCGTCCCTGTCCCTGATCTCCAGATGTATATAACATACCATATTTAATTGTGTAACTATCATACTTATATTTTAGTTGTTTAGTTGTGAAATAGAGGGGAGATGATTACACAAAGTTGAGAACAGTAGTTGAACCAAAGTTTGCTTAGAAAGGCTTTCGGGTAGCTCCTCTAGAGCAATCTCATAAGTCACTTCACCAAAGCCACGACAAGTAGGTACATAATCTTAGTAAAAATAACGTGCTTGATATGCTAACTCAGACCCAAGACAAGCCCCTTTCAGCCCCATTTCCAACCAGATTGTTGCCTCTAAAAGGCCTCTTAAATAGAAATTTTGGAAGAATATCTAATTGAAATAATCGTAGTAGTTAAAGAGATAAACTATTTCTGTTAATGTATTCATTTAACAAATCTAGATTCATAAAAAAATAGGTCAATATGCAAAAATTAATATAATAAGATATTTATGTGTATGTATACATATATATACATTTTGTAAAGAGAAGAAAATCAAATTTGCATATGTAAAAGAGAAGAAATCAAATTTGGAAAGAGCTCCCAATTAATGTAGCTTTAAAAAATGTAGCATTTATAAATAAATTATGCCTAATATGGCATAACAGGCAGCCAGCACGGTACTTTGCACATAATAAGGCTCAATGAGTATTTGGTAAATGAAAATTGTGAAAATAAATGTAATATTCTGTCATTGTTGATTCAAATCACAGCTCCATGTGACTTCCACTGTCCATAAAACAACCTAAGTGGATGTCGGGAAACTAATGAATGCCTTTGCCATACAGAAAAAAAAAAAAATCGATGTTTATTGGGTGAGAGAAGAAGGAACAATGGCACAAAATTTAAGTAACATTTTGAAACATACTTCCTTATCACTTTTCTTTTCCCGTATTGAAGCCATCTCATTTTCCAGTCGCTGAACTTCACCCTTCACTCGCCCCAGTTCTCTTTCAGCAATAATTTTAAAATGTTCTTCGCTTTCAATCTCATGCTCCCTGGCTTTACAAAGAGACTACAGAATAATATACAGGACAGAAAGACTTTTAAAGTTTTAATATTATAAAATATTTATAATAATACATTAAACAAAAAGATAATAAAGTTCCTACAAAATGTTAGATTAAGTAGTATTAATTCCTCTTCTCTGAAACCCACACCACGTCAGACTTTGTGATTCAGTGTGGTCATTGTTGCTTACTAGTTGTAAAAAAGTCAGTTTGTGGAATGTGCTGGGAAAAAAATGTCAGCAATTTTCAGGTATTATGTTGGTCTAGGGAAACTGCAGGAAAACAAAGTCTATAAAGATGAGACCTGAAAACATAATTCACTTATCTAAAAATAAAAACGAAATTGATTAAAAAATACTTAGGAAATAAAATGTATGAATTGATCTCACATTCTAATTAGAAAACATAATTTTTAAATAATTTTGTAAACACTTATGGTTGTAAATATTTCCTAGAATATATTAATATACAATAATGCCTTTGTGTTAAGTTTTACTTAAAAAAATTGTACTTGTTGACTACTGATCTTGTAGGGCTTCAAAGTTATCACCATCAGTATTATTTTTACATTATTAAAGCTGTTACTGTTGTAGGAAGTCTATCATCTTTTGTCTCTATAATCCTATTTAATTGAGGTTTGACTATAATGAAATATACCTACAGAGAATCTCTGTCTCTCAAATCCCCAACTCAGTGGTTTAATAACTTGAGGAAAAGATGTTATTCCAAGCCATTTTTAATTACTAAATCACATCAGGATTAAAAAATCCTGAGATTGTTTTTTTAAAGGTCATTAAATTTATAACTTTAAATAAGACTTTTAAAAACCATAAAAGTTATTTATCTATATTAATTATAAATTATTATTAAAAACACAACTGTTTGTTTTCAAGAATTACACAATTCTTCAAAGAAAAGTAGATGTATTTTTTAAAAAATAGTTTGAGATGGAAGTTAGAATACTCTCCAATGCTTACTTGCAGAGCTGTCTGATTTCCTGGGCAGCAACAAAGAAAGAGCTTCTACACATGAACAGATTATCCATAAAACAGATGCTTACTTAATTAATCACTCTAAGTTTTAATTTATATTATTTGTATTAATATTTCTAAAATGCATTATACTTTCCCCAGTTACCTTAAATAGTTTCCTAAATATAATTTAACTTCTCTGTTATCTCAGGATTGTCATTATAAATTTCAATTCTTAAACCATGTTAAAATAGCATGGTGTCCTAAGAGCTACTCAAGTGTGTGGACTCTGCCTCCACACAAAATGGCCCCAGGGGATTATGCTGAAAAATTTAAATGTAGACAAAAAATCTATTACGTGTTATATTAGGTCTTTTCCCACTTAAAGCCATCATTGCTCACTACTATCACTGTACCTTTTCATTTAATCTGCTGCCTAGTATTATATCAGACTATATGAATGATGATTTCTCATTCAATGAATTAATTATTCCATGAACTTGGTGACAGTAGATATCCTAAAAGTATTTTTTTCTACCTACTTCCAGGTTCAAGGCTATGTTCATAATCATTTAGTTATGCTAAAGTTTTCTCTTATATCTCTAAAACCAAATCATAGATGTAAATGTAATGTGAAATGTTCCATGACTATACATGATATATAATCAATGTGGATTTCAACATTATTATACCTGTGTAAATAAGAACTCTTGCTTGACATTTTTGAGATGAGAAGTCATAGCATTAATTCGATCTTCATAGTCACGTTGCTGATCTTGCAAGCTTGACTTTTCATTCTGCAGCTTTGACAACTGTAAATATTAAGTGCTATGATTAACCAAAGTCCTACTAAGTTTTCACCAGATTAAAAGATCTAAAATTAAAAGAAAATTAAATCTTCATTTATTTGCTTGTTTCAATAGCCATTTGAACTTCTAAAATCTACTGATCTTTTAAGTCTTATAAAATAGTATTGTGATTTAGAGATTACTGTGGGAAAATTAGCACCATATTAAAAGAGAATAGAAATCTCTCTCAAATTTATAGCTTTAGCAGGGTCATTGCTAAAATGCGTTTTTCATACAGCAGTACTTAAACAGAGGAAATGAGATTCTATTCCATAATTATATCACAAGATAGCTAAAGCAAACAAAAGCATAGCTACAAGATGAAATACAAACAGAGCATGAATCATAAACTTGAAAAGTAGCTGAACACCAGGCATAATAGCTTCTCCCTAAATTCCTATTCAAAACCAGTAGACTTAGACTAACCTTAACACAACAGAGTAACTCCCATTTGCTTACTACCTATTTTCTACTGTATTTTGTGTCTTTGAATTAGAACCTTGGGTAGAAACAAAATATTGTAAATGCAAAGCAAACAAACTTTAGTAAATTACAACATAAATTCTCAGGACCATTAGAATATGTCATCCCTCAAAGCAATATAAAAGCTCAACAATACAAACATATGCTTCCTTAGAGTCTTGAGCTGCGGTTCCCAAAATTGGGGTTACAACTCAGGAGGTGCATAACACCATCCACTGAAGTGCAGAAGAAATATTTGAATACTTAATTTTAAAGAAAAAAATAAATACTAATTTACTCATTTGTTATGTCCTTTATTTTATTAAACTTACTAAATATAGTTGACCCTTGAACAACACGGGTTTGAACTATGGGTCCACTTATTCCTGGATTTTTTTCAATAAATATAGTACCTATATTTTCATTTTACAGATCTTTAACTAAGTGTGGGGAAAAGTCTATGTTCAATTAAAGATCACAATATGTGGAATCAAAAGAACTAGGGTTTGAGTCCTGATTATATCCAAACTGTTTCACAGCTTCCTGTCCTTGGGTGAGTCATTTATCAGTTCCTGATTTTTGAGGCAGAGATAGCAGTACTCAAATCTGGGGGGACTAGCTCCCCTAACATTCACACTGTTCAAGGTCAACTATAATAATAAATGTGTATTTTTTGCTTTTTATTTCATTAATTTCAGTTTTTATTTTAACTCTTTTTTTTTAATTTATTAGAGGAGTTCTTCATTTCTTTACTTTTTGTCTTACTGATTTTCATGAACTGAATGTTTATGTTACCCTCAAACTCATATATTGAAGCCCTAACTCCCAATGTGATGTTATCTGGAGGTGGGGCCTTTGGGAGGTAAATAGATTTAAATTAGGACATGAAGATAGGACCTTCTTGATGGGATTAGTGTCCTTATAAGAAGAGGAAGAGATACCAGAGCTCACTCTTTCTCTGCCACGTAAGAACACAGCTAGAAGGCAGCCATCTACAAGCCAGGAAGAGGGCTCTCATCAGTTATCCAATCATGGTGGCAGCCTGATCTCAACTTCCGGCCTTCAGAATTGTGAGAACTAAATGTTTATTTTTTTGAAGTCACTCAGTCTATGTTATTCTTATATAGCAATCCAAGCTGACTAAGACACTGATTTTAAAATGAAGGCATTTAAGACTGTAAGTTTTATCTAAGACAGATTTTTCGTCCTTACCCACGAAAGTGGATATGAAGCAGTCTTCTTTTAATTGTTCTCTAAAAGATGACCTTTTCCTTTCAATTTCTCTCTGCTATCCAGGAATATATTTCTGAGAAACTTGCCTAAGAATTTAAGATTGATGTCTTGGTCAACTTTCATAACAAAATACCATAGACTGGGTGGCTGAAACAACAGAAATTTATTTCTCACAGTTCTGGAGGCTGGGAGGGCCAAGATCCAGGTGCCAGCAAATTCAATTCCAGAGAAATTTCTCTTCCTGACTTGCAGATGGCTGCCTTCTCACTGTGTCCTCACATGGCAGAGAGAAAGAGCCCTGGTCTCTCTTCCTCTCCTTATAAGGACACTATTCCCATTATGGGGGCCCCACCATCAAGACCTCATCTAAACCTAATTACCTCCCAAAGGCCCCACCTCTAAATACCATCACATTGGGGATTAGGGCTTCAACATGAATTTGGTGGCTGGGAAAGGGCTGAGTGGATGGGAACACACAAACATTCAGTCCATAACAATGGAGGATAATTTTTTAAATGGTTTATTATAAATTTTATTGGTTTATGATCAGGGAATCAACCTATAAAATTTCTATCACTCATTTTTTAATTGTGGTTATATATATATATATATAACATAAAATTGACCATTTTAACCATTTTTCAGCATATATTAAATACAGTGTCATTAAACATATTCACATGTTGTGCAACCATCAGCACCATCCATTTCCAGAGATTTTTCATCTTCCCAAACTGAAACTCTACTCATTAAACACTAATTCCTCATTTCCCTTCTCCTCAGCCCCGGGAAATCACCATTCTACTTTGTGTCTCTATGAATTTGACTCTTCTAGGTTATCTCATACAACTGGAACCATACAATATTTGTCCTTTTGTGTCCAGCTTATTTCACTTAGCATAATGTTTTTAAAGTTTATTACTCCCTTCTAAAGTTTTAAGGTTTTTATTCTGGTCTAGTACATGATCTACCTTTGTAAATGTTTTATGAACATATTCTATGTAAGGGATATATGCTCTCTATGCTTTTATTTTTACTGTATTATTTATATCCTTCATATCTTTATTTTTGTCTATTAGAGCTGTCTAATTCTGAGGAAGTCAATATTGAAGTATCCCAGTATATCAAGGTCAAGATCTACTTGCATTTTTAATAGCCTGTACTTTTATATACTTAGCTGTTGTGTTGTTTGGTACTTTACGACTTTTATTTTCTTTATCGATTATGACTTTTATCATTGCATAATAAACCCAGAGCAAAAGCATCTGCTTTTTAATGAAAGTATAATGATTAACTCTCTACAAGTTGATAATTCTTTTCCCACAGTTTCCAAACAATATTTTATTGCCTCTTTCTTAAATAAAAAGGACATGCAAGGACCACCAGATATTTATTGAAAACTTACATAATGTAAGGGATATCAATATAAACAAACAAAAAGATCCCAAAGGAAACAGATAATTCAGGACAAAAAAGAAAAATACTAAATACACACACACACACACACACACGGATATGGACACGGACACACATACACAGATGATAAATGATAAATGATACTGTATTCCTAAAACAAGGCCATGTACTACAAAAAAGCAACAAGCAAATAACTTGAAAATTCAAAATATGATTAATATAGTTGCCAAAATAAAAACTGCTACATAAAGATGAAACAAAACCCTAAAAGCTTACAGAGATTAAAAAAGTAACCTACAAAAAATGGAAATCAGTTTAATATCAGATTACTCACCAACAACACTGCTGGAAAATAAAAGGGCAATATTTTCCAAATTCTGTGGAGAATTTATTTTTAACCCATAATCTTCTACCCAGCCAAATTACCATCAAACATGAGAATAAATAAAAACATCTTCAGATTCAGAGTGTTCATTTCCCATAGACTCTTCTTAAAGAGACACAAGAAAGTATTTCATCAAAATAAGGGACTAATCCAAGCTAAAAAGAAGATAATGTGATGTAGGAAATAGAGCATCAACCCAGTAAAGGAATAAAGTGAATTCTTAAGTTAACAGTTGGAGGTATGCCTGTGGAAAAACAGTCCATACTGGAAAACACAAGACTCCAGAAGAAAGGAGTTGGGGTAGGAGGGGTGAGAGAAAGTATTTGATACTATGATTTAAGGAACAGAAACTCAAAGCGGGCAATGCAAGGAACCAGACTGGCAAGCAAGGATATGAGAAATTAAAAGCACAGTAGTATGGGCCCTTCTTGAAACAGCGATTTGTGGATAGTACCCAACTAATCAAAAGATGAATCAAAGTGAAAAATTCAAAAAAAAGATAAACTGAGCAAAAGTGGCTGCATTAAGGACCATTAAATCATCTTAAATATAAAACTAAGACAAAACACTTGTAATAAATTAAGAACATTGAATAGAATGAAAATCAAATAATATAATATAAACATAATAAAACCACCAGTTTTTAATGGGGAAAAGAAGGTGGCAGAAAGTGTTGAGAGTTAATTTCCTCATTTTGAAGACAAAAGATGAAAAAGCAGGGAGTCAACCCATACTGTCTACAATTGAAGCAAATAATTTTTAAAAAACAATTTAACCATTTCCTTTTTTCTTAGTTTCTCTTAATATTAAAGAAGCTTTTTAGCAACCACTCTCTCTTGTAATTAAGTAACATTCAATGAATTCCTTCTCTTAAATACAAGTAAAATATACAATAGGATCCCATATTTATAATACTCCTGTTTTTTCTATCTATATACCTGTAGACCATGATGTCTGGGATATTTGTTTAAGGCCATGATAGCCACTTCTATGGTCAAAAGTGGGTTTTGGGGGGAGGGAATATCATGTATTTTTATATTTTATATCCTTCTGTTCTGCTTGAATATCTTAAACTTTCAAGAGTTGCTTTTTTTAATATCAGAGTTTATTCAGGTGAGGTGATTATGATCCTCATTATTCTTTTTATTGCTCTTTAATATTTTTCAAAATAGCTAATTTAAGTCATATGTATATAAAATCCTGAGACAAATAGTATGACAATACCAAAAACTAACATTTAAATGTAACTTTAACCTATATTAATGTCCTTAGAGCTGTATAACACAACTGTGAGATAATTATTTTACTTATTACAGTTTACAGTAGAAGAAATAGACTAAGTACTAGTAAGTGGGATCTGAACAGCACTTCTTGATATTCCTCAGTACTCAGTGATAGATTTCTTTTATTTCCTAATGTTGCTCTTCACTGAAAAAAACAAAAATCAAAAACTGAAGCCATCTAAATTAGACAGAAGTAAATAAGTCAGAATATTTTGAAAAAAGTTTTTCAAAACACAGAGTGGGGGATTTTCAATTTCATTTCTCAGAGGAGAGAAGACCTTCTTTTCCATTCTCTAAAGTAGTGTAAACATCATCTGTTCTCCGACCCTCTTCCATACAACACATTGCCATGTGATGGAACTTTAGACTGGCTGCTAAAGGTTTTTAAAAGTTTCCTGAGCTGGCTGCAAGTTTATTTTTAACAACTACCATGCTCTGTTTGCAAGCTGCTGTAAAATATTCCTCACAACATAAAATATTTTATATTGTTCTCTGACAACTTAATCCTCACTTTGAAAAGCTGTAAACTGCACATTTTACGTTCTTACTAGAACATCCCTCTTGAAAACATTTCTTCAAGTCACTTTAACTTTAAACATCATACGCCGAAACTCAAAAAGAAACGTCAACCATAACGTATTTTGTTTACAAGCATCCGCAAATAGCTGATGCTACGCAAATCTCAGAAGTCCCTTTGCAAACCGCGCTTAATTCTGAGGAAGGAAAAAGAAGGCGCGGGAACAGTCTTTACTGCTCAAGAGGCTGGAAATGAGTACATGGAGTGGAAGAGGAGGAAAGAATACAGATTCAGGCTTTATAGTCGTGAATATCAATTACCGTTTCTTTTGTTTGTTTGTTTTTATGCTTAGCAAGTACCGAAAAGGGCGAGCAGGTGACGAAGGAGATGGTGCCGAGAGGAGGTAGACAGAAAAGATAAGATTAGGGAAGGAACAGAGAGAAATAAAAGGACTGTATTTCTACAAACCAGAAAACGTAGCTCCAAAACCCCCCATCCCCCGCCTTCTTCACCTGATCCTTACCTGGTCTTCCAGTATCTTGTTCTCCTCATTCGCCACCGGGATGGCGAACCCATCCTCCCAATGCAGCTCCGCCAGAAATTCACTACTCATGATGACAGATGGAGAGGGGACTCCAGAAAACGTCCGGAGGAGGAAAGAGTCACCTTCTCGTATCGCCCGTGAGCAGCACCTGAGATAATCCCAGGCATTCGCGAAGCTCGGGAGTGATTGCTACCGGTGCTCAAGCAACCGTTTCGCGCCCTTAGTTACCAAACAGGAAGCGCTCAAGTCCGGGGGCAGGACTTCCGGTTGAGAACTCCTTCCCTGGACCCAGGGCAACGTTTTTTTCTTCGGGAGAACACAGAGAAGCGAATAAAATTACTCCTCCAGAGGTTCGCTGGGTTGCCAGGCGCCAGCACAACAGTCCTTGAAAGCGCAGCCCCGACCGTCCTCCCGGCGCTCCCGAGGGGTGCAAAACCGGTGGCGCCCGCAGTCTCCGGGGGACCACAGGGCACGGGAATGGCTTAGCGCTACGCAGCTGCGATCGCGGGCGGAAGATGAGAGCTAGGGAAAATAATCAAGTGGCGTTTACCGAGTTCCATAAGTAGATGAAATCTCGCAGGCTGAAGTAGACTGGTATTTTGAAGCAGAATTCACTCCCTAGAATCGTTACTGGATGTTTTGATCTTCGTCTGTTTTAACTTCTGGTCTTCCTCACAGTGCTCTGCTGCCCGGCTGTAGAGTCCAAGCTGACCGCAGACGTGAACTGCGCAAAGAAGGCAAACTTGCAGCGCAGACTCCCCACTCCTCTTTACATTTTTCACTTGTTAACATTTACAGTTCACATAAAAACCTGTGTTTCTTCCTAATCTGAAAAAAGGGTAGGGAACACCTGTGCCTACATTATCAGAAGACTTTATTCGGCTGAAGAGGCGCCCCCTTTAGACTGGCAAACATTCCATCAATTTACTAATTTGAATCACCTGCTAGGCACAGGTAGGGGTTTGAGTTTAGGGCCGAGTTTAGGGCCTCTGTGGTAAGGCTTCTCAGAACTAGAAAGGACAAAACAATCAATTAACTTAATCCTTTCATTTTCTAGATGAATAACCTGAGTCTCCCTGGGTGAAGCGATTAAACTAGGCAGGACCTAAACTAGGATACAGGTCTGCTAATCCAAACTATGCTCTCTGCTATGAGGGGTGTTCTTGGCTGGAATACTCTCTACCAGTGCATCATAAGGATCAATTAATTTTGCTTATCCAATAATCAACTATCTAGATTTTTTTGCCCTTTGGAATTTTATTTTACCTGTTCATTGTTAATTTTTTTATTATAAAAAGTTTAAACATATGTAAGAATAATGAGTGGGGTATATGTACCCCCACATACTCATCACCTTGATTTAACATTTTTTTATGTTAGCTTCATCTGTATCTTCTGCTGAAGCACTTTACAGTAAATCACAAACAGCATAACATTTCACCACTAACTACTTGAACATGCATCACTAATGTTTAATCACACAATGTTATTATCACATCTAACAAAGTTAATATCAAACTATCTCTTCATTATCAATGTCTTTTCATATTCATATTTCCTCAAATGTCTTGAAAATGTCTTTTTTATCCTTGGTTTGTCACTATACTTTTGAAATCCTCTTTTGTAGCTGTGTCTTTGTGTTTACATGACTTTCCATATATTTAATCTTATGGACTTAGAAATAGTGTCTTCAAAGACTAGGGTTAACAAGGCATTTTATTCCCCACTTCTTGAATTTCCAAGCTGGTGGGCGAGAAAGACTCAGATGAAGAGGGAATTTTGACCTATATGGAATAATGGACTTGTTAGTATCCAACATATATTAAGATGACATATAGTTATTTCTACTTGAAATTTGTTCTGGCAATGTCCCTTTTAAAAATTATTTAAAAATGTGAATACTGAGGCAGCTGCCTTGGCCTGTGCCAATCTGTTGATCCACCCTTCTCAGTGTCAGCTGTAGCTGCCAAATACATGACTGCAGCTGTCTTTGCTGTGTACTCCCCTAGGCCCCAAGGACATAAGAACTTTGGCAGCCAAATCCCTGCAAAGAATCTTGTTTCCTATATCTCAAGGCTTCTATTTCCTGAATTTCAGGATGACAATTACACAATGTTGACTTTTGGACAAAATGTGTATGCAGTCTCCAAATTCTACATTTCTGCCTTTAAACAATATCCCTGCTTCTCCCCCTCATCAGCACAGCATTCCATCTCATCCAATTCCCACTTTTATAATTCTACAACTTCCAGATCATAACTCTATTTGTATTCATTCAGATCTAGATTTGAAAACAAAACCCATAGATTTACAAGCCTTGTCATTGACCATGAAATAATCTATTTAATCCCAAAATGATAAGGTAGGTGTTACTCTTTTACATCTCATTCCCAAATAGATAATTTCATCCAAATCAGGTTGTTTAGGTTAAAATATGAAGAGAGTTTTGGTTTGCAAAAATGTGATCTTTGTACAAAAAAAATAGAAAAATACAATTATGTGTGAAGTAACAAAAAAGATATTCTCACCTCCATGCCAGTTCATTCCTAAAATGTTGCCACTGTTTAGTGTTTATCCTAGTGGCATTTTTTAAAAGGAAGCTATAAATATATGCATATATTAATTTTTCCTATAGAAATAGAATCATACTATGAATGTTCTTTTGCAAATTCATTTTTTCATTTAGCAGTAATGGCCGTGTTTCCATGTCAATGTATTAGATCTATGGTCTTTTAATGGAGATTAAAATTCAGTATTATCAATCAATATTAACTTTTTAAACAATGCTATAGTGAACATCTTTACAATACTGAATTTCATCAATTCTAGAGTATACTTATTTTCATATTTTAATATCTCTGAAATTGGAATACATCTTTCAGTTAGTGGCATCTTAGATTTGGTGAATAAGATATAATCTTGCACACCTGTTTGTTTCTTCAGGCCATTCTTAGGAGTAAAATTAATGGGAAACAAGAGTAAGCAATTTTATTTTGATAGCTACCACTAAATTATCTTTCAAAACGTCTATACATACCAAAAGAGAAAGACTATCCTTGCATACTCTGAATGTTATGAAGTATCAAATATTAACAACCTAAGGAGAACAATATGGTACCTCGTTCTTAAATGACAGTTCTATAATTTCGAGTGAAACTGGACAACACAGTTCTGCTAAGAATTTCTTTATCATATCCTTTGCCCATTTTTTCCCATTAGATTGTCTCTTCTTATTCAATTACTGCAGTGCTTTATATGTTATAGATAGTATTTTTGTGCATATTTGTGTATGTGTCTATGAATAATATTTTTCTTCCAATTTTTTTTTGCTTTTTTTAAACTTTGTTTTTAGTGTATTTTGCCATACATACCTCAGAAACTGCTCTTGTTCCATCAGTATGCTTCACATTCCAGTGGTTCTGTCCATCATCAGCTCACCTGATCTATGGACTATATTCAGCTCAGCTGTTCCTTCTCTATTAAAACATTTTCTTCTCTTGGTTTTTATGACTTCTCTCCATCTCCACGCTCACCATGCCAGTTCAAACTATACAGAAAAGTTGAAAAAGTTTTACAGTGAGCACCAGTACTCCCTTGATCAAGATATTTCCTGGATTCTACCATCAATATGACTATTCTTGTTATCGCATATATGTCTATCCATTCATCAATCTATCTTATTTATTGGTTCATTTCAAAGTAAATTGCAGTGATCAGTACACTTCCCCTGTAAGTACTTCACTATGCATATGTTTACTTTTGTTTACATTCTTTCCTCAGTAGATAAAATTTACATACAAAGAAATATACAAATCTTGACAAATGCATACACCTGGTTAACTTAGACTACTCTCAAGTTGTTGAACATTAACACTACCCCAAAAAGTTTCCACTTGCCGCTTTCCAGTCAGTCCCTGCTCTCACTTCCCCTAATCCCCAGAGGCAACTTACTGTTCTGATATTTTCTCTAAGTTAGTTTCTCTCTTTTAAAACTTCAAATAAATGGAAAGGCACTATATTGTGTTACATTTACAATTTATTGCCTCTCAGCTCCAAATTCACCCATTTTGCCTGCCCTGTGAAAACAGATATGGGCCCTTTATTTCTCTTTCAACGGTTGGCACGCTATCAAGATTTATCAATAAAGAGCACAGGAGAGACACTGCAGGAAGAAAAAAGCTCTTTTTCTCCCAGGTTCCAGTGTGCTCACTTGACAGGCTCCTGCAGCATGCACGGCTTCTCCAGCATCCAGGTCCTGCATCACAGGCAGTTTCTCCAGCATCAGGCTCCTGCAGCACTTGGCTTGCAGCTTCTCCAGTTCCCATCTCCTGCTGTGCACAGCAGCTCTCCTTAGCACCCACTCCCACCCCAACTTGGGAAATTTGGCAACAGAGTGCCCCCAGTGAAACATCTCCCCATTAATAGATTCCCCTGGCACCATAGAGAAAAGGTTTCCAGCAAGTTCAACCAGCACAGTGACTTCTCTGCCATTCATCAAGTGCTGGAAGACCACTTCCCTGGGCACACTCTCTTAGCTTTAAGGATAATAACTGCTCCTTGCATCTGATATTTCTACATTCTTTAGAGTTCTGTTTACTTCTTACCAGCCAGCCCCTTGTTACTCCAATCCTCTGTTACAGTTAACAATTCTTTACATTAAACTTTCTCAATTAAATTACTGTGTGGTTTCTCTCTTCTGATGGCACCCAGATTGATGAAACTATGTACTTTTTGATGTCAGGCCTTTTTTCACTTGGCTTCGTGTTTTTGATATTCATCCATATTGTGGTGTCAGTGGTTTCTTTATTTTCATTGCTGAGTAGTATTCCCTTATGTAAGTATAACACACTTTGTTTATCCATTCTCCTAATGATGAACACCTGGACTGTTTTCAGTTTGGGCAACTATGACTACAGCTATTATAAACATTCTTGTACAAGTTTTTTAAATACATTTATTGATTTTAGAATAATTTTGATTTACAAAAAAGTTGCAAAGATAATACAGAATTTCTGTATATCCCTCATCTAGTGTCAGTTTCCTCTAACATTTTCATCATACCTTACCCTGGTACATTTGACAAAAGAGAGAAGCGAATATTGGGCTGTTACTATAAACCAAACACCAGATTTTCCCATCTTTCCATTAATGTTCTCTTTCTGTTCCAGGATCCAATCCAGCATGCCACATTGTGTTTTGTTGTTGTGATGTCTCCTTAGTCTTCCCTGATCTAGGACAAGTTCTCAGTTTTTTCTTGTGACTTATAACATGGACAATATTGAGAAGTATTGGTCAGATATTTTGTAGAATGTCTCTAAATGGTTTATCTGAAGATTTTCTCATGATTTGTCTGGGGTTATGGGTTTGGGGGAAGAAAACCATAGAGGTGAAATATACTTCTCATCACATCATATTAGAGGGCTCATGATGTTCTCATGGCATTACTGGTGATTTTAACTATGATCCTTTTGTTAAGATAGCACTTAGTGGGAGGGTATAGTTCAGTGGTAGAGCACATGCTTAGCATGCACAAGGTCCTGGGTTCAATCCTCAGTCCCCCATTAAAATAAGTAAATAAACCTAATTACCTCCCCACCCCCAAAAAAGATAACATTTGCCTGGTTTCTCCATTACAAAGCAACTATTTCCCCTTCCATACTCTAAATAATTCACTGGGTTCAGTCTGCCCTCAAGGAGGGAGAGTACACCCTACCTCCCAAAAGAAGAGTACCTACATATTATTATTTGAAATTTTTCTATAAGTAAGATTATTTCTCCATTTATTTATTTTTTCAATTATTTATTTATATTACTACAGACTCATATATATTTTATACTTTGGACTATAATCCAAACTATGCTATTTTGTTACCCAATTTATTCCAGATTTGGCCATTGGCCCCTCGTGTTTCTTTGACATGCCTTCGTCCTTTTGTCTTTTGAGCACTCCTTACTTTCTGGCCTGCAAAATGCTCTAGGCTCATCTTGTATTTTCCTTACACAGCCCAAGAATTAGTCATTTCTCCAAAAAGCTCTGGTTCTTTTTATTGGAGAATGGTATTTAGAAAGCAAGAACTAGGCTCTGCGTCTGTTTGCTTTTACCAGGTTGTCATTGCTTCTGGGCCTTTTCAGCAGACAAAACTAGATAATATATGTATGTATATTAACCCAAGAATTTATAAACCTCTATAATTGTGTTTGTATCTATCTATCTATGTAAACTAAA